AAATGTAAGATGTAATCCGATTTTCGTTACTACTTTTGCCTTCTACAAAAAAGTTGACAATTGATTTTATAACGGATATTAATGATTGGAACAGTATATATTGTCTGGACTTTCTTTGGCAGGGACCATTATGACCTTCAAAGACAAGTTGCTTCGCCCCCCTCCCCCCTTCAAGTGTCGAAAATATAATAGAAAGTAAACGGATAGAAGAAAAATGTCAAGAAGAAAGAAAAAATGTCAAGAAGAAAGCAAAAATGTCAAGAAGAAAAAATGTTAAGAAGAAAATGTTAAGAAGAAAATGTTAAGAAGGAAATGTTAAGAAGAAAATGTTAAGAAGAAGAAATGCCAAGAAGAAAAATCTGTGACAAAAATGTGTTTCGTTTCAATAAATGACGGTTTTTAAATTGTGAGTTATTACTGTTATTTTATTGAATTTATTTTTATTTCATTAAAATGGTACTAAACTATATTGTATTATAGGTACTGTAACGTTCATATGTACTGAAAATAATCATATTTAAATAAACGTGAGACATAGTAAATTTGTATGGATTATCGTTTAAGATTTTTACTAAATTTTAAGAATAAAAACCTGTCTTTTTATCACATATTAATTAAATAGTATTTCAGTTATAAATACCATTTGTGTTCTCTGGAGCACAGGCGGAAACGATGAAGACAAGGTGAACCATTTTATCTTTCGTTTGGCGAGCTCAAGGCACGGTCACGGTGGCGTTACAAAATTGTTTGGTGAAAAAGGTAATTTCCATTGAGAGGTAAATATTCCCTTTTAAATTTATTGGATCGAGGTAAAACTTTTCCATTTTTGTTTAAGAGATCAGGTGACCTAACTAATTATAACAAATCAGTATAGAGATATATATTTTATATATATTACAAAAAAAGTTTAAATAAAAAAAAAACGCAAATGGCCGATCAATTGTGGGTTGTTGGTTTTTGCGCTGCGAAAACTGCATTATTATCAAGAATTTATTTTGGTTGTCCTCCATGTCCTGGGGGATTTTTTCAAGCATGATCTGCTATTTTATGATCTAGTGCTTTATGATCTGGTGCTTTATGGTCTGCAGCTTTATGGTCCATGTCCTATATGGTTTGCTGTCCTCACAGGGACGTAATTTTGAAGGGACCTTGATGATTAATAGTTTAAGACGAGAGGTCTACCTCTCCTAGAGGGGAGTTTTTTTGTGGTAGCACAAGTTTTTTTGGTGAGTTCCATCCAGTTTATTTGAATTTAAGTTTTTTTGATGAGTTCCACCCAGTTTTAAATGAACTTTTAAGTTTGAAGTGCCAGACAAGGCCTAATTTTTATGTAACTATATTTATTTAGTTTTTTAATTCACACATAAATGTTCTTTAAAATTAATTGAATAAATATTCTTCGTTATGACATAGTGTGAACCGAATACAGCTGTAGGAGGGGATATAACGAGTTAAACATATACGTACATATTTTCTGATAATCATTCAAGCCACTAATGTATCAGTGGACTTGTAGATGCGTTTAAAATTTTAACATAAAAATATTATTCTAATAAAACCCTTATAAAGTTGAAAAATTAAAAATCAGCAGATACTAACTAAAGTTATATTATTTTATAAAATCATTTTAAACATTTTCAATATCGAGTATTGGACTTTTTTTTATTTGTTCGCCTGGAGGGAATTTGTAGAAAAAACTAGTTGTTTTGATTTAGTCTTTGTTTTTTATTTTCTATAACATTAAAATTAAATGGCGTTCACTATTAAAAGTTTTCAGAACCTACGAACCCTGCTTCCAGACTATAGAGCTGCCGTGCTCTTGTAACCTTACGTTTCCCTATGCATACTATCTCAAAAAGGGAACAAAAAGTGTTACAGTACATATAAACGTTTTTGATCTCAGATAAACAATAAACGAATGTATAAGAGAAAAAATGTTAGATACAAACAAATGTTTATACATTTGTTTGTATCTTATGCTTATGCAAGTTTTACTTAAATTATCAATAATGATTATAGTCGAATTTCGACCACTGGGCGAACACTAGTATATATTTTATTTTAGGAATTGGTCACATTTTAGTTGAAATTATTTTTTTTATTTTTAATTTAATTATTTAAATAAATTAATAAGGTTTTATAAATGCAAAAAGCCACATTTCTATGATAAAGTTTAAGACCGCTACATAAAGAAACAAAAAAAATTATTCCTCATATCCTTACTTGATATGGCAGCAGTTCCAATGTAATGATAACTATAAATATAAAAATATTATTATCTATATTTAAATTTCTATCACTGGCTTCGTTATCCAAAATTTGTTCGACAACTTTAACATCTGTTTTATACAAATTACTGAGATACATAAATTTTGTATTAAATAAAAGTAAGAGATAACCAAATAGTTCGAGAGCTGGCAGTAAAAAGGTTTAAATTAACATGATAGTACTGATTTAGGTTGTAATATTTAAACCGCCCGTCTGCCGGTAAGTGATCGCTTTATTAGATTTAAAATTAAAAAAAAAATCGCTGATAACTACCTGTTCGGACATTTAACTCAATCTGGCAACCGCGCTTGCGGAGTGTTGTGATTGGGAATGTCCCGTGACGGATCTGGAGGATTGTGTGGGAGAGCGCTTAAAAAAAAATAGTGTTTAAAAAAGAGAACAATTCATATAATACTTTTGTAGAGTTTGCATTGTTTGTACAAGTTTCTTTTATAATAAAATCATTAAAAAATCAATTCTTTTCTATTTTATATAATACAGTCCAATATGGTCCTTCGAGCCGGATAGTTTAAAAAAAAAGTACATTTCTAGTTTGTGTTTTAACATGAAAATCATCGAGTTCAGTGCATAGGAAGAAGCTGAGTTTATCCAGATCACGTGATTTTATTCCAATTCTTTTCTTTCCACTACAGACTTAATTTGAGTTAAGCTAATTATGGAGAAATCGAGGTTTAATTGAAGATGCTTTAATTCGACAAAATAACTAGTCTAATACTATTGATAAAAATCAAATAGATGACCTAACTGTTTAACAAATTATAGCAAGGTTAACTTTAATGTTTTGTGAAATGGCCTAAAATCCTAAGCCTACTTAAAATCGCGAGCTTCTGCCGTTGAAACTGGTCAAATATGCCAAAAAAGCCACTAATTTCCTCAAAGGTTATCACCGTTATTTCTGTGTCAAAACATGGTACTTATTAAAGTTAAAAAAGAAAACTTTGACAAGCGGTCGCTTTCAAACCGCAGACGAGTTTAAAATATACAAGACGAAAAATTTATTGACTCTAGCTGCAAATTTTAGCTTATAAAGAGTACTTATTTGGATTAAAGATTTTCAAAATTTCTTATAATTAACAATCTCTTGTAACTTTTCTTAATTGAAGAGTCGGCTCCAACAACGTTGTAACTTACATTCTTTCAACTTTTCAGGAGGCAAAAATCTGTATATCTATTATTTGCCTTTTAACATGGGAAAACGTTGTGCGATCGTAACAGCTACAACGTTCTTTTATACTGTTAGCAATAACTTCGGGCCATTTATCCATGGTTTAGGCTACAGAGCATTTTACACAAGAAAATTTTGGAATAACGTTGTAACTGCTTTGTAACTTATAACGTTTTTCCATAACTTGCAAAGTTTTAATATACTATACAAAATAAAAAACCTTGTACTATTATTAATATTTATATTTTTCAGTATGTCTTACTTAAAAACAAAACTGTCTAACACAATAAGAACTTAGTCTAATACAAAATGTTTAATATACTATATAAATGAAAGTAGGAGATAATACTAAAAATAGACAGTATATAAATTTAAAGGTAAAAGTAATATTCATTCTGTTAACCAATTTTCGTAAAAAGGATGATAAACCGGATTCATATACTGGCACACATCTATTAAATTAGCATTTTTAGCAGCCTAAATAGATATTGGTCCCTCATATGCCGAAGGTAAATTTTCCATACTGGAAAAAGTTGAAGTACTTGCCTTGTACTTGGCAATATTTTTTACGATGTGAAAATGTTTCCAGTGTCGAAGGACGTTATGAGTCTCTCTTGTTAATAATGTATTTGAGTCTTCGGAACTAATTTTATTCCATAGTGATTCCGTAAGTTTAAATTTGGGATTTCTTTAAAGAGCTTTTTCCAAATCTCTCAGATCTTTAAAATCCTCTCTTTGCATGTACAAAACATAAAAAGGCTTACTCACCATTGCGTTGGCAATTACTTCCATCCACTCCAATGGTACGAAAACTTTCGCAGTTTTTTTTTCTATTAGGGAAAAGTCCCTATCGCTGGGCAGGAAGCTGTGTCCAGTTGAGAGAAATTTTTGGTGCACTGCTGTGAATCATAATCATTCGCCAGTTATTGTTCTGTCCCACACATCTGCCTGACCATATTATTAGCTGTCTTCTTTCACCTGTTTGCAATGGCTGGAAATGTTCTTTTGCGTACCTCAGTAAACATGACGAAATTTCTATGGCACCTCGTTTTGCTACTGTTTCATTCCACAGCATCATAAACGCATTGTTAGATGCCGCATCATGTATATCCAAATTGTAATTTGACAGCTGGCGTTGGTAAAATACGCTGGAATGATGTTAGGTAGGGCATAATAAGACCTGTTGCAAATTAATGAATAAAACAAAAATATTAGAGAGATTGCTTCCTGCCAACTGTTTATCTGCATTAATTGATGCATACCCTGCTTTAGCACGCATTTGATGAATCTGCATCTCTTGAGAAATTTTTTGTCTTTCTTCTTTAGTACTGGCGGCACATAACTGAATATAATGCTTGTCACCAAATGTGCATGTATCGGAACGGGGTTGTCCAAATTTAAGATTCAGTTTCGCAAATATATTATTTATGTCCTAACTGATATATTGTAATGCTCTGGAAATTTTTCACAAAGGAGCTTATACATTTTTTTTTAAGTTAAGATCTGCGAAAAGAAACTCTGTATAAATTTAGATCGTGAGTAGTGACTTTCCTGTTTATGAAAAGAAGAAATATGTTCCCTTATCAATTCTTTGACATTTTCTGGAACAGCGTGTGGCCGATTCGTATGGCATCCTCGGAAATCTTTAATTTAAATACCATTCTTTAGCTTTTCCACTAACATTTGTATTCTTCGGGGGTTACTTTAAGGGTATCGGTGACAGTTTTTTGGCAAACACGTATCTTTTCTTTCTTAAGAGGTAGAAAATAAAAAAATGTACACTTGCGGCGTGGATTTAGTTGATTTTTTTACTTTTGGCCGTATGGGCTCACGTATCTCAATACATTGATAAGCAAGAAATTGGGATTGTTCATTGTAAGACTTATGAATTTTGAGAAAATGGTACGTTTATTGCCCTCTAACTTTGCAGCGAAACATCCCCTTTTACAGCGGCACACTACATTCTGCAAAGAAAGAGAACATACTTAAGATGGGAATCCGAAACTTTTCAGAAGTATCAAAGTTTTTAGAAGGTTTTTGCACTTTTCTTGCTTGGTGGTTGATATTTTTTAACAAAAATACCTGATGATAATGATACCTCATAACATTCTTTCTGCTATTACCATTCCTATAGTGACCAACATATATTTTAAAATTGTCCCAAATATGAAATTAATAAATTGGTGCTAATTTAATATGTTTTTTTAATTTATTTTCGCCAAAATTTATTAATTTTAAATTCGGGACAATTTTAAAATGTATTTTGGTCACTATAGAAAAGGTAAAAGCACAAAGAATGTCATAAGGTATTTTTGTTAAAAAATAACAACCACCAAGCAAGAAAAGTGCAAAAGCCTTCTAAAAACATCGATACTTTTGAAAAGTTTCGGATCCCCATCTTAAAATAATAAAGTACAAATACATGACAATTAAATTCCCGCCCCATAATAGTATAGTTACAACGTTTTTATCTTGCCTCTTCTGGCGGAGCCACTGCCGGTATACTCTTCTTTCTTTTACTTAGATATTCTTCTCCTCTGTCCCTAGCTAACTTTGACTTATTGTTTTGCCACTGAACAATCTTTGATTTGCATTTTTTACCACGATTTAATGTATTTTGCAACGAAGACGAGAAATTTACCACCGACATGATGCAAAAATGCAATAAAATACGTCCAAATAATCTCGTGCGCTTCTACTTACAACGTTCTCCGGCGGAAATCGGCTAAATGACAAAATAAAATATTTGATTTGAGGGGGATATTTAAAAACAGAGGGACTTTATTCTATTAGGCGGTTGCTTTAGGTGTCATACAACGTTATTCCATGATTAACTCGATTTTATACAATTTGCGAGTTACAACGTTGTTCGAGCCGACTCTTCAATTGATGATTGCATTTTTAAAATAAGCGGTATAACATTATGTCAAAAGAAGTCGTCAACTACCTCACAATTTACCTTCAATTTTTTTTTGACTGATTATTTATTCTTGTGTAAGGAAAGAAGACCTAAAGAAAACTTCGGCAGACAGTCACATTCAAAAGACATACGGGCCTAAATTGATTGTTATCAATAGGATAAAGTACGTACAATATAATTATTTAAAACGACCTCGGAAGTAATTAATTCATTATGCAAAAAAATATGAAAAAAAAAAACAAATTAGTCATATACTAATAATAATTTATGTTTAAACAAAAAATATATATAACTTAGTATCTGGTTAATACTCTCCCAAAAATATATACAATAATAATACAAACATAATCTAGGTAGCGTGGAATAGAAATGAATAAATAATGTCAATAAGAACATGAAAATGCATTCTCGATGTACTCGTACTTATTTTCATCACTATACTTGCATTGAAAATACTTCATCCTTATGTATGTCTGGAGCTAAGTTTTTTGAATCTAATCAAGTATAGCAGAAGTTTGTGTCCAATAAACCAATCGAGTTGGTATCTTCAATCGACTAAAAGCCAGTCATGTTCTTCAGAATTAAAAAAATATTGGATTTCCTCTGTCATTTTATCTCCTAGTACCGTTCGACAAGGTGGTATGAAGTTCACATCAAAATTTTTAATGGATATTAATGGATTTCTTCCTTGGGATACAGTACCGCCATGGTTCCTAATCTATCCTCGCCTTATTCACACTATTAGAATTATGCCTACCATATGAATTTTTCAATGCTATAAATTTGCTTTACCGGTATATCCTGTGAATGGCCGAAAGAAGCATGATGCTGTATAGTCACTGTCTGTTAAAGCGTGATAGGTATAAATATATATCGTTAACAGAAATGTATCTCCAAGCATATTTTGACGGAAGTCCAATTTCTATCCAAATATGCGCTGTATTTGTTAATTTGTACGTATTTCCCAATGCTATTAATAATATATCAATATCGGATGCACGTATAACATTAGTATTTTCTGGTAGTTTAGATATACGAAATAAAATTCTGGTATCAGCTTGATGAGGACTTTCATATTAAACCTCTAAAATTCACAAATGACATGTCCATCAATCTCACAAAACATGTAACAAATATTTTTACAATTTACTTAAAGAATTTTGTCTCATAAAATACCAGGAAAAACTTTATTTCATTTTCATTGTTTCACTATAAACTGAACAAATTTGATTTTAAAGAAGTCACTTCTCAATGTTTCAGTATTTAAAAAAGTCGGTGAGTCGCTTCTGCTCTTCTCCAATAATATTGAGCACACTATCTCTTCCTGTTACCTTTATCTTCTGTTTCTTTTGGTATCTTTTAATGATACACCACACAAAATTAATTCTATTCTTTTGATGTTCTGTATAGCTTCTTAATAATGTAGAGCCAATTTGCTATAAGTAAAAGGAGGATACCCAAACCTGGAAGGATGGATTACACTGTCCCAAAAACATACCGACCAATTAGTCTGACACCGTTTTCCATGAAGACTTTGGAAAGGCTATGCGAAAGGTACATAAGGGATGCGGTGATTACAACAACATCACTACACCCAAACTAATATACAGATCTACTGATTCATCCCTTCATCTAGTTGCTGGCCGGATAGAAAGATCCCTGGACAATAAGAAGTCCGCTATGGGTATTTTCATAGACATAGAATGTGCTTTTGATAAAACTACCTTCCCAAAGATAATACACTTCCTAACCAACAGGAATGTTTCACATATGGTTAGTGGGTGAATACATAACATGCTTTTAAAGCGAGCAGTAAACATATGTGTAGAAAATGTGTACATAAGAGGCTTAGTTGCGAGGGATGTCCACAGGGAGGGGTGCTATCACCTCTACTGTGAAATATAGTCCTCGACACCCTCGTCAGTCGCCTCAATAACAACAGTCACTACACAATAGCATATGCAGATGACCTGGTTATTCTGCAAACAGGGAAGTTTGAGAACATACTCTGAGAAAGAATGCAAGTAGCTCTTAAAATTATCAAACACTGGTGCAAGGACCATTCACTGTCTATTAATCCTAAGAAGACAGAAATGGTCCTTTTCACAAAGAAAAGGATGAAAATGGAATTAAAACCTCCAGAACTCCTAAACACAAATATAAACTTTAGAACAGAGGTGAAGTACCTAGCTCTTACCTTTGACAGCAATTTAACATGGAACTTGCATTTAGAAAACAGAGTTAAAAAACATACAGTGCTTATGAACAATGCTGCCGAACCGTGGGACAAACCTGGGGTTTCTTCCCCAGAGTCGTCGCATGAACATACTTGGCTATGATGAGACCTATGCTAACATACGGTGTAGATATCTGGGTACCGAAAACCCAAAAATTAACAGCTATCCGTAAACTAGAACAAATGAAAACAACACCAACCAGAGCCATGGTAGTTACTCTTAGTCTCACTCCCCTTGATATTTACATCAAGGAGGTTGCTCTGACGACAATGACACACCTCCCCAAGGTTGGAATAGAAACTGATGTAGGATCTGGTGAGGCGAGACGTCGCTTTTGGCAGGAGGCGCTCGATACGGTCCCACTGCTTCAAGTGAACATGGACTCCATCTCACCGAGATATATCTTTCATAAGCCATATAAAGTTATAATAAAACAAATAGAAGAGCTGAAAGTGGCAGGTACGATTCATATCTACACCGACGGTTCTAAAACAAAACAAAGCTCAGGATGTGGAATATACTCCAGATTCTTAAACTTAAACATAAAATGAGCTGTGAGCAATAGTGCCAGTATAGTTCAAACAGAGCTAACGGGTATTCTCATAGCAGAAAAAGAAATAACCAGAAACAATACCACTGGAAGCAACATGCTCATCTATACAGATAGCATACAAGCACTACTCACCCTGAACAGACCACGAATTTATTCAGGGTTAGTACTAGAATGTCACGAAGCACCCTCCATACGTTACAAATAGAGATACGTTCGAGATATAAAAAAAAAAAACAATAAAAAGTCGCACAATCCATTTGAGTTGCAATTTAAGATGTTGATACACGATTATCTAATAACGTATATAATTAATTTTCAATTATCTAATTCATTGATACTTACCTCGAGATAGCTCAGTGACAATCGAACAGTGGTCAAATAGAGTGCATATTTCGAAAGAAACTAGACTCCAAAAATACTTTGACACATATTTCTGTTACGATATATACGATAGACAGGTGTATAGCCTATCACGTTTTAACAGGCAATGATTATAGCAAGAGCAAATTCATGGCGTTGAAAAATTGACGCTTTGGTAAATTCATATGTCAGATGTATGGTAGGTATAATGTTAATACCGTGAACAAGGCAAGGTTATATTTGTTTCTTAGGAACAAACCATGGAGACACTATGTCACAAGGAATAAATCCATTAGATATAGTTAACAATTTGGTTGGACCTTCATGCCACCTTATCGGAAAGTATTAATAAATAAAATTTAATTAAGTTTGCGCTATCTGGAATTATGCAACAGTGCCTAATCGAATTTGTTTTAATTCTGAAGAACATGACTGGGCTTTTATTTGATGGAAGATGCCAGATGGAATGGTTTATTTAATCATAAACCCCTTCTACACTTGATTAGATTTACAAAATCCCAACTCCAGACATAGATGAAGATGAAGTATTTTGCGATGCAAATGGTGATGACGAGTACATGAAAATTACATTTTCATGTTCTTATTAATAATATTTATTTATTTCTATTGCATGGCTACATAGCTTTTGTTTATGAGTTTTATTTTTACTTTTATTTTTTGTATATTTATTTCGATACTATTAACTACAAACAGGGTTAATTTTAAAACTTACTAAAAATAAGGGTTTTATTTAGCAAATATGAATTTACTGCTTTGTTTTTGTTCATATTTTTTTACTTCCGAAGTCATTTTAAAAAATTATATTACGCGTACTTTAATATATTGATAGCATTCACTGTAAACCCGCAAGAATAAATAATATGTAAAAAAAATTGAAGGTAACTTGTGAGGGAGTTGATGGCATTTTTTGACATTATGTTATAGCACTTACTTTAAAAATGCAATCTTTATTTAAGAAAAGTTACAAGAGATTGTCAGTGGTATGAAATTTTGGAAATTTTTATTCTAAATAAGTACTCTTTGTAGGCTAAAGTTTTAGGGTCCAGACATTTTTTTTTAATTTTTAATTTTAAACCCGTCTGCGGTTTGAATGCAATCGTCTGCCAAAGTTTTCTTTTTTAATTCTAATTCGTAACATATTTATTAATACTTTGACAGGAAACTAACCGTAAAAGTCATTGAGGAAGTTAAAGGCGAGTATTTGACTTAGCTAGCAGCGACTGCTTCAAATTAGCGACCACTTTCAACGGCAGTCGCCTACAATATCAATTTAGCAAGGATTTTAGGCCATGTTCACCAAAAGTTTATTTTGGTAATAATTGGGTAGATGAACGGTTTTAAAATTACAACCTAAAGTAGTGCCTACATGTTAATTTAAACCTTTGCACTTTGGTAACTTATGAGGTAGTTGTTTTTACTGCCAGCTCTCGAACTAAAATATAAATGTAGACAGCTGAAGAGTTGTTTTGTTTTCGATTATTGATAACCTGAAGGTGCTCTAGCCTTGCTGGGCGTGAATGTGAGAAATTATTTTAGGAATCAACTTTTAAGAATTTTGCTGTCAACAAGAGTTAGGTGTCGCAGTAATCCACAGATAAATAATTTTGGATTCCTAAAGTTGAGATAATGCAAGTGTATTGCATAATAAACTAAGTGTTTACTTCAGTTAACAACTAGATAATGAATGAAGTAACTGTTTGTTCTTTTTATCATTCAAACACCCAACACATAAAGGATAATTTGGTAACCGCACCCAAAGAAAACCAAGAGTAAATTCGCACCTTTTTTTATCTTATCGAA